TATCGGCATCTCTCCCCAGTGCCTCTGGTGTCCAAGATCTGCCCCAGTGACACCTACAAGGTGTGGAAGAGCGGCCAGAACCTGCGGGTGGACACCACACTGCTGGGCTTCGACCATATGACCTGGCAGCGGGGCAACCGCAGCTTTGTCTTCCGAGGACAAGGTGAGGTGGCCCCTGGGTGTCCCCCCACCCTCAGCGGGGAGTGCTGGCAGAGTCTCGTGGTGCTGCAGCGGGGCCAGGTAATGTGGTGGGGACTGTGGTTGTCCTGACCCTGCTCCCTGCAGACACCAGTGCGGTGGTGATGGAGATTGACCACGACCGGCGGGTGGTCTACTCGGAGACGCTGGCCCTGGCCGGCCACGACCAGGAGGTGCTGCTGGCTGCTGTGCAGCCCACGGAGGAGCAGGTGATGGGGCGGCTGACAGCCCCCGTTGTCACCACCCAGCTCGACACCAAGAACATCGCCTTCGAGAGGTGGGCAAGGGTGGCACCAATCCCACCCCCAGGGGTGCGGAGCACCTTGGGCTGTCCAAGCAAGCCCATCCATTGCTCATGGTGCTGTGTCGCTCCAGGAACAAGTCTGGGATCCTGGGCTGGAGGAGCGAGAAGACAGAAATGGTGAATGGGTACGAGGCCAAGGTGAGGGGCAGCAGGGGTTGAGCCACCCAGAGGGGCATGGCCAGTTGCAGGTGGGGGTTACCCACCTCTGCCATTCCCCTCCTCATCCAGGTCTATGGCGCATCCAACGTGGAGCTGATCACGCGGACGCGGACTGAGCACCTCTCGGACCAGCACAAGGGCAAGAGCAAAGGTGCAGCTGGCACGGGCTGGGTGGGCAGGGCCCCCCTGGCTCTGCCCTCACCCCCTCCTGTCCCACAGGCTGTAAGACCCCTCTACAATCCTTCCTGGGCATCGCTGAGCAGCACGTGGGGCCCAACAACGGGGTGAGTGTCCCGGAGGTCTGGGAGGTGACCCTGCAGTCAGACCTCCCCTCCTCACCCCACCGGGCTGTTCCCCCACGCAGACACTGATCACGCAGACGCTGAGCCACGCCAACCCCACCGCCATCACCCCTGAGGAATATTTCAACCCCAACTTTGAGCTGGGCAACCGGGACATGGGACGGCCCATGGAGCTCACCACCAAGACACAGAAGTGAGAGGGGAAGGAGCAGATGGGGACCCCCTTGTGCCCCCACCTCCAGGGAGACAGGCAGGGATCTGCAGCCCAACGCCTGTGCCCGTCAGGTTCAAGGCGAAGCTGTGGCTGTGCGAGGACCACCCGCTGTCCCTCTGCGAGCAGGTTGCCCCCATCATCGACCTCATGGCAATAAGCAACGCGCTCTTCGCCAAACTGCGGGACTTCATCACCCTGCGCCTCCCGCCCGGCTTCCCTGTCAAGATCGGTATGGGGGGGAACTCTGCTGCTGGCCCAGCTGGCACAGACAGCTTCCCTCCCTGCTTTTTTTTCTTCCCCTTCCTGCAGAAATCCCCATCTTCCATATCCTCAACGCCCGCATCACCTTTGGCAACCTCAACGGGTGTGACGAGCCCGTCAGTTCCCTGCGGCACAGCCCCAGCAGTGAGGCGCCCTCACCCAGCAGCGACTCCTCCAGCGTCAGCAGCTCCAGCTCCCTCAGTATGTGGGGTGAGAGGGAGGGGTCCCAGCAGGATGAGTCAGACGTGGTTGGTGAGGTGGGGTGGGAACGGGTCTCAGCGGGGTCAGGGGGACACGGCTGGTTGAGAGGGAAGAGGTCCCAGTGAGATGAAGGGACCACGGCTGGTGGGGCAGGAGTGGGTCACAGCAGGGTGAGGGACACGTGACTGCTGGGGTGGGAGGGGGTCCCTTGGAGTGCCCAGCCGTGCCGGCTCCTGTCTCCCCACAGCCTCGTGCCGAGCGTGCGAGATGGACCCGGCGCTGTTCGAGGTGCCGCGGGGGTACAGCGTGGTGGGCACCCACCAGGATGCCCTGAGGGAGGATGAGGATGACCTGCTGCAGTTTGCCATCCAGCAGAGCCTGCTGGAAGCTGGCAGCGAGTACGACCAGGTGGGCACTGCCACCCCCTCCTCCTGCCTGCCTTGGCTGGGGGACTCTGTTGCTCATCCCATCCTGGTGTTGCCCAGGGTGTTCACCCCACATTTCCCCATCCCTGGTGGTGGGGTCAGAGCTCATCCTAGGGGGCTGGGTTTTGGGGTGCCACTCTCCAAGCACCGCTCTGCCACCGACCACAGGTGACCATTTGGGAAGCACTGACCAACAGCAAGCCGGGCACCCACCCCATGTCGCACGAAGGCCGCCGGGGAGACAGGTTGGTAAGGTCCGGCCAGTCCCCCTGGGGGGAGTGGGAGTGGGCACCAGCTCCACAGGGACCCCCGCTGAGCTCCTGCTGCCCCCCAGGACTCCCCAGCACACGGC